CCCCCCAGTTTTTAATATGGTTTTTCTATGTGTGAAGCAAATGGCATTGGCAGACTGGGATGGCAGGAAAACAAACACTTGGCATTGGGAAGGCAGCACATGGATGCGGTGTTAGAGATCTATTAATACCAGACTTTTCCCAACATTGATTAAACTATTTAAAAAGACTCATGAAAAAAAAGTGATTTTCAGTAAAAAATACTGTAAAAGGTGAAATAATAAAATAATTCAACATATTAAAATGATGCATAGTATCATATTAATATACCTAGTAAGCAAAATTTAGCAATTTTACATTGAAATCAAAAGTTTCAGTGAAAAACGTAATGCAAACCATTTAGAAATACAACTTTCAATTACAGCTTTCAATTAACAGTGTGTTTATGCCCTTTTTTTTTATTTAAACATATCAGAGCAAAGAATCAATAGCTGAAAAATCATAAAGTTAATAATTAAATATTGGAAACACACAAACTCATGATCTCAAAACTGACAGCTGTACTTGTAATACTAACAAAGGAATTAACAATAATTATAAGGTGAATGTACTTTTTTTCCCCCAAGCATTCATGTATTAAAATATTACACAATACCCTTTACAAATATTTACAAAATCAGTGGTAATTTTTGAATAACAAAAATGGTTTTTTTTTCTTACTTATGTTGATGAAATTGATTTGTTTTAAGATACGGGCTTGAACTGACAATATTTCATGAATTCTAAATACCATGAAACAACTAACCATTCTAACCAGTTCAACTACTTCCATGCAAGTTGGAAACAGCAAGCTTACAACTTGCTGTCCCTATCTATGCTGTTTGACCTTACTCTGAAAGACTAAAAGATTTAGCTTCATTCCCATTATTATTATCATCAAATTTGAAAATCAAGATCTCATGCTGTTGAAAACTTCTCATTTGACACAACAACAAAGAGCCTGACAAAATAGAACAGGATGAAAATTTCAATTTGCACACATCAATCCTGAGACAAAATACCAAAAAGCATTTGTGAAAATGCTGTGTGTGGAATCTGTGCCTTGCAGTTGGAGAAAACGAGGCAGAAGCACTGACGGAGCCTCAGTGTGGCTGCTTCGTGTGCAGTGCAAAACTCTGCTTCTACTTTCATCTGCTTCCAGAGTGACCACAGAGCTCAGCACTCACACGAATGCAGGAAGTACTGCAGCAGTGCCACTGCTTAGCACAGGTGCAGGAGCACATTTGGCCACTCAGGCTCTTCTTTTGCTCTGAGGTTTCCCCAAAACACAGCTCGAGGATCCCTTACAGGAATCCAGTGGCAAAAAGCCGCTCTGAAACCTCTTAGTCACAGTTCAGAAATGTGTGCCACAGACCAAGCAATTCCAGCAGACATTAGAGAGTAACATCCTTTAACCAAAAGGTAATGTTTGCTTTAATTAAAAGTTAGGCAGTTTTCCAAACACTATGGACTATCCACTGGCTTAACTCCAGCTTTGACTCGGATCTGAAAATGTGGCTACAAAAAGCTTTTGAAACTATAAAGTTGCAAAAAACCTCTTCAATTTATCAGTTTTTCTAACTGCTGGCCTGAAAATGTAACCATTTTGAATCTACTTAACACTCCATATGAAACAGTCCTCAATTCAGCTTCTCAAGTCAAACCTCAAGAAGCAAAAGGAGGAAAAATTAAAAGCTTTCATGGTGGTGATGTTCATTTCCCAGCCTGAGGCACTGTTATGAAAACACTTGAAAACTGTGTCTGTACACTCTGCTAGGGGACAAGTGGCCAGCATATGACAGAAGGAGAGGAAATCCTGTCTGGAGCTGATGAACAATCAGGAGGTAGGAGGGCCAGGCCCTGGGCAGGAAAGGGGAGGGAGGCAGATGGGGAAGGCCAGCAGAAAGCAAACACTTTGAATTTCCCTGGCACTTTATGTATTTCATGGTCCACTTTCCTGGGCCGCTTTTTCTCCTGTGACAGATTTAGCCTTCAGGGCTGCTGATTGCTAACTTCTGATTTATGTTTGTTTCAGCATATTAAAACTATCCAAAACATTTGTTGTCTTGGGGAATACACATTTTACAATGCCCTGAAGACAGGCAACCTGAAAATCAAATGTTTTACATTCTAGAGAAGACCATTTGCAGAAAGCTTGTCAGCTGAGCTGCTTGGTGGCTTTACTGGGGAAGTTACTGAACATAGACTGTCAGCAATAAAGCAGCATTGTAGTTTGAATGTATTTTAAAAGGTTTTATCACACTCAAAATTCAGCAAGACTGGTTTCTGCCATGTTACCCACAGGATGATAGCAAGATTAATTCAAGTTCTTCAGAGGATGGTTGATGACAGAAGAGGAAACAGACTACCCAGTGGTCAGTAAGTGGTTGGAACCAAGAGTTGTTAATACTGTACAAAGGAAAGGAAGATGTGTACAGAAAAAAACCTGGTTGACCTTAAACAAAATTTCTCTGTTCATTCCCATCTAATTTAGCTATGCAATTTGCAGACTATCACTGGAAAAGAATATCTTTTGTGATTCTGCATCTACAAAAGTCATCTGACTTGCTGCCTTCAGTGCCTTCCTATCCCAGGATAATACTCTGGTAGCTCAGGAAGATGCTCCCGGGTTCCAGCAACACCAGGTTTCCAAACTGAACTTTGAGGAAGAACACCTCTAAATTGAGGGAAAAGAGAGAACTGAAATTTACTGTTTCTGTGTTTGGAAAGCCCTGGAAGACAGGAAATGCAATTTACATAACCTCATAGGAATCTATTATTTCTGTATATTTATCTCTGTAGGAGTTCTGTATTTGCGTGTTTTTGACAAACCATTTAATTACAATGAAAAGCCTCATGAAATTTTATGGGAGGAATAATTGGCAACCACATCTAAAATATTGAATGCTCTTCATTAAGAGTTTATGATCTGGAATAACATTATGAGATATTAGGAAGGAAACTTAAATAACCTTAAGATAATCAAGTTTCTACTGCAATTCTTGAGTTTTATGTTTAATTTCTCCAAACTAGTTTGGTTTAGCATCATCACAAGAACATCCTACAAGCTAGAAATATTTGAAAATATTATTAGTGTACTTCTGAAGAGGAAACAAAATAGATTTTCGTATCTAGGAATTTAAGAAGCTGAAAGAGTTGTAGAGTCTTTTCTTGCAAGGCTCAGTGTTCGGTATTAAATATTTTATCAGCTGAAGTAGTGGGTCAGAGAAATATAATGAAAACGACCCACTTAGCATAGTTTCCTGATCACTGTGATCCCCCATCAGAGTCTGATCAACAATGTCAGGTTAGAGAATAACTTTGCTCTCCTGAGAATTCAAAGCTTTTGTTTCATTTATTTCAGAGATTAACACAAGCTAACAATGGATCCAACAGAGATATTCTGTACAATTTACATGTGCACTGGGTTCGAGTATTCTCTGAGCAGAAAAAAATAGAACTTGGAACTTTCCTGTATAGTGATATCTGCTATTACATCACTCTGAGGAAGACACATGTCCTGTTGATGTGAGACTGAAACTGGAAAGCAGAACTGCTGTTTCCAGATTAGGAAAGTTGCCACTGCCAGTCATGCTGGTGGCCATTCACCACTGAAATGGGGGAAGTCGATGGAAACAAAAATTAAGGCACTGCAAGGAGTTCTAGGTGAAGCAAAACTGACTTTTTCTTTAGAAGAATAGGTGGTCCTGAACTGCAAGTACAAGTATCCAAAAGTTGTCTGGCTGAACTTAAGCCATGAGGCTTTGATTTATTTGCAATAAATTGGCAATTTGCAATAAATGATCTGAGATTCTCATTGATTTCTAAGGGAATTATGAACAGTGTTCATGTCTAAGGATGAGGCAATCTTTTAACTTTTTTAGTACTAGAACTTGGATTCCAAGAAAAGAAATTGGAGAATTTCAACCAAGAAAAGTTACCCTCATTCTTATGGGACATATAATTCTTATATTAATGACATTGAAATAATTTCTATTAATTACTTGCTTATATGAAATAGAAGGAAAGAAATAATTAATATATGCAGTCAATACATAATTTTATCACCTATAAAAATATTGGGACAGAGAATTATCACACAGGAAATCAACACATACAATTTAGTTCCTGAAATGTCTTCTAGAAAAGTCAGTATACAGCTAAAGTATTCTGCCAATACTCCTAAGCTGTTCAGAAAAATTAAAGACAGTCCTTTTTCTCTGTCTCTGGTTTTCTTAAAGGCTCATTTAAATTGATCCTAAATCCTAGTTTTAGATCAGACAGACCAACCCAGGCTTTTGCACTGCAAATATTTTGAGCAATGCTATGTCAAAATTAAGATACATAATTAAGACAGGGCTGTGTTAGTTTAGAGATTGACAGGTTATTCAAATTTCTGAATATGGGCTATGGACAAAAGGACTCCCTGAGTAAGGTCACTGTCCCATCCAAGGCCTAGGTCACAGCACAAGTATTATCTTCCCCTTTGAGGTATGCTGGGAGGTCCCTGAGTACATGTATTATCTCTCTCTTAAAATTTGGGGGTCAGAAATACTGTCCAGTGTGCTTTAAACAGGACAAATCTTAATAACATTGTTCTCTAAAACAAGTCAGGAGACTTTGGTACATAAGGGCCTCTTTTTATAAATAACTATTACTAAGATATTAGAGCTTTGCTCCTGCCTAAGAATTCAAGACAAAATTTCACTAAGCTTTTATACTCCAATAATATAAGGAGATATGTGAGATCATAACATTAATTGTAAATAAATGCACATACATGAAAAAAATAAAAAAAAAAAATCAGAATTTCTGTAGAAGCTTAAAACTGTGGCAAGATTTTCTCTTCATTTTTGCCAGTTGTGAATGCCACTGTGACTGAAAATTATTTATCCTTTCACATGTAAATGTTAACTTAATAGTCAATTTTTGGAATCTCAGTAAATTAGTAAACATGTGGTACTCTGGTCAGTACAGACTTAAGACATGCTGGCTGCAGGAAACAGACTTTCAGTTAAAATACCTGAGGAGGTGGGGTCTTCAGAGAAGTCTGGCAGCTCTTCAGGGGGGTCACCATAGAAGGAGTTGAATTTGTGGCTTGACACAGCTGCTAGTACTGCCCCCTGAATAAAAACACCCACACAGTCTCAATTACACAAAGAAGGATAATTAAACATTTCCAGACACCTTGGATCACTCAATCTCCTGAGGTCTCTTGTGTGTTGACCTTTTCAGTGAAGAGCAAATAACTTTTCCAGTCTTCAGCTCTGCCTCCCTTTCATCAGTGACCATATCTCACAGAAGAGCTGGTCATACACTAATAAACAGTAAAAATATTCTTTGCAAGAGGATTCATCAGAGCAGTTCTTTATGTGAATGCATTTTGAAATAATAACTGTGAGGCATAAATTCACATTGTAGTACAATGTAAACAAAATAACTAACCTCTTTATCTTTTCCTCTTACTTATACTGAGTGAATTAGCAGGAATAAAAATTCACTCTTTAAAGCAAAACACTTCGTTTTTATTTTAGAAATTGTCATAACTTGACACCGACAGCACTAGAATACTTTGACACCCATAATGCATCAATATAAAAATAACAGAGTTATACAGACAGTTGCAGAGTCCCAGAATGAGTGTTACAGAGAATTTACAAACCTAGAAAAATGCTTACCCGCTCTGACATATATATAATTATTCGAGTAAATTGCACTTTAATCACTGAGGTTTTAATGCCTCACAGTTATGGAAGCATGGACAAATTTAACGAAGCATACTGCAGAACAGTGCTTTGGATAAAATGGCATAAAAAAAAAAATTAAAAAAAAAGGTATAAAAGCTCAGGAAACTAAATATAGAGGCCTCCCCAGGAAGAAATCTGGGAAATACCTGAAATTGCATCTAGAACAGGAATCAAAATGTACTAGATAGCATTTTTAATGGAAGTATTACCTAGACATACAAATCACCTAAGAAAAAGAGCTGTTCATGAATTGTGGCAACTGTGCATCCTCATCATCAGCTACATGAAATTTTTGCAAAGCAGCAGCTCAGTGTGAATACCTGATTCTGATTTATTACAAATTGTAAAACAGCCCATGAACTGTACTCCATGTTTGTGTCATAATTTTGTGAACCTTTCAGAGAATACAGAAATGTTTATGTTAAAGACTCCATGACATTAAAAATTACTGTTCCTTTTATAATAAAAATATAACACAATAATAACAGAAGTGATTGCACGATTCTCTCCAGTAATTCATATTACACAGAATTACTGAATTGACTGAAGATGGAGACCTCATATACACCTTGGTTGTTACCAGACAATTTGCACTGAAATTTGAAAACCATGCACTAAGAAAGAAAGAAAGAAAGGACAAACAGCCTTTCTAAGACATCATTTCAATAAACATCTGTGAAGGCCTGTTGCAACTTTTTGTTTTACTGCCAACTTCAAAGCATGGATTTCTCTTAGCACTTTTTAAATTAATCAGGTATCACACAAAATTATAGCTGTGTAATTAATTATACTGTTTTAACACTACATTCAGTTTACCTTTAGTTTTCGTCTTGCATTGAATTTTCTCAATTGTTCTACTGTTTCTGGAAGATGAATCTTGTATGCATAGCGATCTCTCTCCTTGAAAAACCCCACAAAAAACAAACCAAAAAAACATTAAATACAAGCTTTTAGTATCCTCTTGACACTAAGAAACCAGACTAGAAAAGTACCAGCTCATAAATATCCTAAGGAGAATGAGGACTTTTTCGCAACTTAAGGAAAACTTCAAGAACTTAAGAGGGATTCAAGTACTTTGACAGAACTCTTAACTTGGGCCAAAGATGTTTTCTTTTTGCAGTTGTTTCCCACCTTGCAGTAAGACCCCAGTCCTTTGTTTTACTGTTGTGCTGTCAGTCTGTGTCTAGCACTGAACTTTGAAGCTGGCAAGCAGAAAGTAGTTCTGCTTTTTGGAATTCACAAACCTCAGTGAAGCAACATGCTCAAGCACTCTTTTACAGGGTTCTGGATACTTCAGGTAAGTTTGGGAGGTGGGGTACATGTCCAACAGGGCAGGAAGTGCTAACCCAACGCCAGTCAGGGGATGGTACAGGAAGAATTCTCCATTGCAGGTGCAGATGAAAAATTTGCCAATGAACAATTGCAGTGACAGAAGGGACAAAACTTGCAGCAGCCAACTAACTTCTCCCCCTGAAGCTACATAAAATCATTCATTTAATGTGTTTATCACATGCTTCTCCTGAATCAGAGTGAAATCACAGCACTATCTCTATGGCACTAAAGAGGTCTGTGCCTCATGCTGCATTTACTCCTATCTATAAATGGTTTAGAAAGTTCTGAGTCAGCAGAGAAGGCAGTTTATTGTAGGCAAAACTGAGAGGACTGACTGGTAGAATGCCTGTCCTGAGCTTGCAAATAAAGTTGTCGTACACTAATCCATGTGACTTCCAACCAGTAACAACTTGATCAGAAAGAGACCACAGATGCCAAAAGTGCAAAGCTGCACAGGCTGCTTTTTTCATCTGATTACATGCACATTACAGAATTGTCTTTTTTAACAAACCTAATTAGCTCAGTTGCTCAAAAAACAAAAATTACAGGTTTTCTACCAAAATGACCCTCAACCAAACTCTAGGTTCGGCATCTCAATGTGGATATGCTCCCAAAGTGAAGAAAAATTCCAGTTACCAGCAGATAAAAGCAGATCACCTGTGTTTGTATGATATTCTGGGATTCCAAAATAATGGTGTTCATTTCCATACTCTTCGATATTTTATACACTGTGTATGACCCAGATGAACAGGCAGAACTTGGCCTCTTTTTGAGTGGAATGGCTTGAACCTGCAGTTTCCCAGCACCCAGATGACCTGCCTTAACCACTGTCATTTCTGAGAGGTGGACACTCCTGACCCTGACCTCCTCTAAAAATTAGACCATTCTGCAGCTTGGAATACAAGAATCAGAGGCAGAAAGAGAGCAGAGAAGTGGAAAAACAACTCCATTCACTGGTGGTTACACCATTAACTTAGAGGTAGAAGACTATATGATCCTGTTCTTCCCACGTTCTTTCTTTGTGGGTTTCTCTTTGTCTCATGTAGAGCATGAAGAGAGTCCAGCAGCAGACACCAGATTAGCCCCCTTTCAAATTAAGTGCCCTGTTTAAGCTGATGATATTATGACTCTTTCTACCCTGGACACCCACTATAGAAAAGAAGCAAAGGATAACTAAGAAAATAGTTAATTCATCACCTTCTGCCAAAGAAAATACAATGCTCTGAACCAGTACTTTTCACTTTTTAGTTCTTCAGCACAACCCATCATTCTCCAACCCCAATGTTTAGCACAGACTAGTGATGGACTGCTGAGAAGCTACAGGCGTATTTTCTTCTGCTCCTGTTGTAAACCTTCAGTGTGCAGCAACTGCTCTTCCACTGGCTTAAAGTGTGTTGTAAATTCTGCCATCACTGAAAAATAGTTTGATTACCAGATGTCATATAATTTTACGCAGTCACAATGGCCTTGGAGCAACACTCCACCATTTCCTTCCCTTTTGCTGGGATATTTTCAAGTATTTAATGTAAGGAAGCAGCACAGCCCAGTAGCACAACCTACAGCAGCAGAGTGCATGGCTCTCTGAGTAACAGGAAAGAGGTTTAGATATGACTGAGTGAAAAGGACATCAGAAATTACTTCTCTGAAGTTCGAGAGCCACAGAAAGACACCTTAACACCACCTTTAAGCTTCATGTTATACAGCCCTACTCCCTGCACTCTGGTGCTGCTGAAGATGTTCAACTGAGTTTGCTTTTAAGCAAGAGTTTAAGCCTGGCAATTCTAAAAATCTCAGGCTCAAATCCTCCGAAGCATTTAAAGCACATTATCCCACATTTTGTACAGTTCATGTCTACTTTGACAAGCTCAGGAGAACAAAGAAATACATATTTTTATCCCTTGTACAGGAAACTAGCACGTAAACAGCTGCTTTTACTACCTTTAACCAGGGGTGATTCAGTGCTTCATACACTGTTATCCTTTCTGCTGGATCCAGCATAAGCATGCGGCGCACCAGATCTTTGGCACTTTCAGAAATATGGCTCCATTGCCTAGGATTCATCTGATTATGAACAAGAAAAAAAATTAAATTAGTGATAAGGATGTAGGAAAGAACCTAGTGTTTATGTAAAATTATTGCAGAGACTTAACAGTGCTTGGTGCTAGAAAACATTTCCAAGTAATGAATGTAAAAGAAATTTCTTCGAAGTTTTTTAATAACTTGTAAAAATTGAACATTATTTGCTACTGAAACGGCACAAAATTTGAAAACATAAACCCTGACATGTCCTTAGTACTATGTTATAATCACAGTATAATTTCTGTCTGGTCTACATTCTGCTCAAATCAAAGTGACCATTCACTAGATAAAGCAAAAAACAATTAAGCTCTGTTTAACTGTTAATTATGTGTATAATAAATGCAGAAATGAAATCTACTCTTGAAATCAATATATGACATGAGAATTTATCTGTTTCAACCCACAGTTTCACAGCAGTGATTCTGGGTAAGAAGGGACTAAAAGAATGTCTGTTGCAAACTACTCTGGTCCTGTCCTGAAGGTGCTATGGACAATGGCTCTTCCCAATAAATTCCTTTCAACTTCACAACAGGAAAAGTTTTTCCACTAGGAAAGCACAAAAGGATAAGACAATACCAGGAATTGTAACACTTTCAGAGCAGAACTACATCTTCAGGAGATACAACAGGAAGGATGATTCAGAATATATTTTCATTTTGTGCATATATGCAGGTTTGTGCCCAACCAGTGAAAATTATGGACTCCTGATAAAACCATACCAAAGTAAGAAAATTCTTTATGCGATATAAAGGATTGTATCTTTAAGATATTGATAGTATTTCTTTAATTTATGAAGAAGCTAAGTTTTATTAGATGATAGCTAACTTTACAAAGTACTAAATGCAAATTCAAAATTATAACCAGACTCCTTTCAATGTTACGTTCTGATCATTTAAACAGGTTCATTTTATTTAAAATCAGTTTTTACAAAAAATGATCACTTTGAATCGGGGCACTCAGCAACATTATCTGGCTATGAAATGCACATTTAAAGCTGCCATTCATAATTTCTTTTTCAGCTCTAATGAAATGAAGGTAATTGCAAATTTGACAGGATTTTCACTGAATAGACAAATTATTGTGGAAACAGGAACGGAAAAAGAACTAAGAAGACACAATGTGCTGGCTGTAACTTTTTTTTTTAAAAAAGAGAAGTTAACTAGTATCCTTCCAGAAGGTTTTAGCTGCTTACGAGATTCCATAAAGAAATCTTACATAAAGTGGAACATCTGTCAGTCTGTGCAATCCCAAAACTAGTGCCATGAAGAAATGCTGCTGTTTCTAGGATTATAAAATTTAAAAAATGAAATACATGCTCCAGACCAAGCACAGTAACACTGCTGTCACTTACATTCTAGCAGGCTATTAAGGTGATATAATAAATCAGACTATCAGACAGCTTTGGGAGTTTCCATCTCTAATTTGCTAATGCAGAACTCTTGTATGACCTTGGTTTCAAAGTACAGCAAAGCTGATGTTGGACAAACCCGCAGAAACAGTGAAGTTGAAGCTTTAAATTTGTCTCCACAATGGTCTGTGTGCTGAGAAGCTGTGAGAGCTTCTCTTGTGTGCACACTGACGTGCCCTTGGTTGCAAGTGGCTCCTTTTGAATCAACAGCTGCATTTTACTGCACACTGTACTAAGAAGAAAAATGCCTGCCTGCATTTGTAAAATGACATGCATTTTGTTTTAAATCAAGGCAATATAATGATGTTTATGACAGCTCTGTTAGTTGATCAAAAAATTTAAGCAGTCCATAAATCTGAGGTTGCAGTATGTTCTTCACAGCTAAACCTCTTGCCTTCCTGCTGGGCTCAATGTACAGTTAGGAGCTGGTTGTAGCACCCATTTATTATTTCATCTGAGTAAATATTTTCATATTCTATTTCCTAGCAATGATACAAAACTCATCAGGTACAAGGCACACCGGGGAGGGAAAATCATCTCTCTACCTGTGTGACAGATTTCCATAAGCTTTAAATTTAAGTCAAGCTAAATATAAAAATCAGCTTCCAGAAATTTTACCAACAGGGCTCATCTCACTGGAAAAGGATTCATGTATGCTGTCATTTACCTTGTATTTGCCTTTAATAATGCCTTCAAATAATCTTTCCTTGGTTCCATAAAAAGGCAAACAACCGCTTAGCAGGATAAACAGGATCACACCACAACCCCAAACATCTACAGGCTTCCCATATGGTTCTCTTTTTACCACTTCTGGAGCCATGAAGTGAGGTGTTCCTACACGTCCTAAATGGAAATAAAAATAAATTGAGTCAAAGTGATGTGTGTCAAACATGGAAATAAATAATATCAGTGCATTAAACAAAAACAGTTTTAATAAATTTTGTTCATGGTTTAAAGCTTAACACAATTTCTTTTTCCTAAATTTTATATATTTATATATATGCAGTGAGATAAATCAGCATTTTCTCTTTTGCTTCATTTTTACTTCTATAAATTGAGGAATATACTACCCTAGCTGGCAGACCGTAAGAGCATTAAGACTCTTCAGTGAAACTTGCCATATAAAAGTAAACCCATCAATTTGGAAAATCTTTGAAACAGGAATTATTCAGAGAGCAAATCAAAGATACTGAAGAGTTCTAGTCCACACTTGTAACTTGAAAAAGCTACATCTAATTGGCAAGAGCAGAGTTTGGTCTGACGCTCTGCCCATACCTTGGCTGGTCTACTGAAACTGCCAACAAAAATGCAAAATGCCAGCATATGTGTTATTAATTTATTTGAAGAGGGCAGTATCTTACTGCAGATGAAAAGATAATGCTAATTTCTTTCACAGACTGCTTTCATTCAGTTTAATTAATGTTTTCCCATGAAAACAAAATGAATTTAGTACCAACTGATTTTTGAGCAGATAAAACTGATTAGAATAACTTAATTAAATTTCTATGTAGCACATTAAGCCAAATAAAAGCAACAAACATTTTACCTCTCCTTTTAAATGTTTCCCATTGTAAAGAGTTTTATTTCTATTGCAAAAATTAAGCTTGGAATGCTCAGGTTATCACTGACACAAACACTGAAGTCTTTGGACTATCTTGGTTCTACTAAGTACCAAGAGAAGAAACAGAACATCAGTGTAGCAAACTGTCACCACTAATACCCCTTCATAAATTACTCTTCCTTACTGCAGTGTATCTCAGAGGCTCCATTCCAGGCTTGCAGCACCTGTTGGTTAGGAGAGCCTAAAATGCAGCCCAGAAAATCCGAGGCGTTTGCAGGGCACATATTTAACTCAGTTTTGTCTTTGTAAAGAGACTCTTACTTGATTAACCTGCTCACACTCTGCATGGGAGTCAGCTAAGTCACAGCATGGGGAACAAACACCTGGGAGACTATTTAGAAGTAGCTTCCTCAGTAAAGACCATCATTTGTTCATCCCACCTAATGCAGGAATATGGTCTGACCATATTGTTAATTAGTCCTTTTTGCATCTAAAGGATTAAAATATTGTCAGAAAGACAGCAGCTTTTTAACCATACTCTTAAGAAGAAACATCACCATTGTCAAACTTCTTCTACATGGTTTTCTGTTAAACCTTTTCATTCCCACTTTATCAGGGAATTCCTCTATTCCAAATAAATGCTGGGGATCTGTCTGGGACAGAGGGATGTTGCCTCATCAGTAAGCTAGACTGGCATCTTAAAAAGTCCCTGTAGTCCAGGCTGACCTGACAGCAAAGGGCAGCTCCTTCCTCAGCTAAAAAAGAATAAGCCATCAAGATGCTGCAAAAGTCCAGCTCATCCCTCATATCACAGGGGGAGGATGAAGGATGTTTAGTCTGGACAGAGTAAGAGATGCACATGGGGAAAGATGACTCATTCTTCTTGTGGGCTGTACACACTTGGTAGGTGAATGGAGTAATTTCAGCTTGACTCAGAAACCTCAAAGCCAAATATTCAAGATCTCATATATGAGGTAAAGAATTATCTCCTTAGATAACCCTCTCTCTTTTAGATGGCTGGTGGTAGGGAAGACAAGGAAAATTGAAATCATGTACACATCCAGTATACGTAAGTTGCTGTGATTTTTCCTAAAGAAATTATATCCATAAAGTTTCATCACTTTTTTCCCCTCTGGATGCCATCATTGGTGACAGGAAAAGAATCAACATTTCTAGCTCTGTATCAGGCTATGCCTGTGCATAAGCAGCAATACCAGCCTGTTCAAAGAGCATTTTTCTATCCCTTAGACAGCTCATGTGATGTTTGTGGTGTGCCTAACACTGACTGGAAACCTTTAACTCAGGGGATCATCAGAGACCACAGAGCAGCCTGGCTTACCCAAGTCTTGTTTGTCTCAGTGAGACTTAGGTTTAGAGGAACCCGTTTGCAATTTTGGAGCAGGTGCAACCTTTCTTACATGTTGGGAAAAAAAAAAGTCTTTTGAAAATTCTGCCTTCCCACCACGCTTTATAATTGCTGTTATAAAATCTGACAAGTGTGGAGAAGAGGGATTACTCCAAAGACAAACAGGAGAAATCAGCAGAAGCCAAAATATCACACGGGGTAACAATAATTTAAAAGAGGCATTAAGGTACAGTTGTCTGGATAAAGTAGCTAATGAAACCATGAACCTTAATATCAAATGATATCTAAGTTGATTTAATGTGTATTTTCAACGATTATGTGCCAACCTCTCAGCTCAGGAACTTTTTGTGGTTTCAATGAGAAGTTGCAAAGGTGAACATGGTACAAAAATGACTATGTGCTGTGAGAACAACGCTTAAAGGTTTGAGTTTTGGCCTTTTTCTATCAATGCACCTAAGTCTGCTGGGCATTTCAGTACAGTGAAGGGTAACCTACAGAATATCTTGCATCCTTGCAAACAGTTACATTTTCTCCTGGTGTAAATAGCACATTTTTCAGCAATACATGCTGTAAAAGCAGTCCAATAGCATGATGGAGTGTAGGAATTTAGGTGTCAGGGTGCTGGCACTGGGGCTGCAGGGGTGGTCTCTGTGAGGAGGGGCTGGAGCTGCCCCATGCCAGACACAGACAGCTCCAATGGGATCACTGCTCAGCCCAGCAGTCAGGAGAGTGGTGTCAGGGAAAGTGTTTGTAACAAAGGGAAAAACTGCCCAGCAAAGTGAGGAGTTTGGGAACTGCCATTTCCCATCCTCCCTGAGCCACTTGGGCTTGGGGGGTAAGTCAGGAATGAGGGAGTGAAGCTGAGGAGAGGAGGTGGTTTAATTTTTGTCTTTGTTTCCTGCTATCCAAATCTATTTGATACTTCCAAGTTCCTGTTTTGCTTCATCTGGTGACCTCAGATCAGAATGTGAGGCTGCACCTTCACTTAGCACTCAAGTGCTCTTACAAAGAGACAAGTGATGGTTAAAAACCAGTTCCTCTCTGATCATCACACATCTTTCTGCTCCCCTGCAACTTAGAAGGTGTTTCTTCTATCACAGGTAGAAGAACACAATCTTTGTTGGCCCAGTCCAAACCCAGGACACAGTAAAAACCCACTCTGATGAACTGCATGTCATGGAGCAGAAGGAATAGAGTGGTTTAGTAAAAGGAAACACTGCACAGATGTTTATGGCCCCACCAGGCTGCTGCCATAAACCAGATGAAAAATGGATGTTACTTAAACTGAAAAATCAGTGCTACTAAACCGTAATACTCACTTTTAAATTTAAAATGAGAACTCCAAAAATACAAAAGAAAAGAAAAAGATGACTAGGCTAGGTTAATGAAATCCTGCCATTTACCACTGCTTGATTATAGTTAGTAGAAACAGTTAGATACAGGTTTGGTTTTGTAATGCTGAGCACAAGATCCTGATACTTCAGATGAGAGGGATGAGGTGGATACTTATGGTGGTGGAAATCATAATTTTATGTCCATGAAAAAGCAAACCCAGAAGAAGCCAAAACTTAACTGGTTTTGATTGAATTGTCTAGTTAAACAGGATTAAAAAATGCATATATATGTGTACATATGTATTGAAATCTTAAGAGTAATTTCTGGGCCAGGTGTTATCCTTTGACTGTGTTCATCAAAGGAGTAAATGATGATTCTGAAGTTATTCTAAAAACTGACCTGAGCAAGGACTATTGAGCTGCACCTTTGAACTGCACTTAGCTGAGCAAAATGAACCAAGTGCACACAAAAACTTACACAGATGGGGAGTTTTCTATGTTGCAGCTACAAGAACTGTAAGGAATATCTGTAACAGCATAAATACAGTCAAAAGACAGCAAAGTTGTCTAAAACCATGGATATTCACTGCCCTTTAGACCAAATATCACTTCTGCTGAAAATTATTTAGTAGAAAATCTGCCTTCTAAACATGTCCAGTGTAAAATTTAAACATTCTTCTCAACAGTTCAGTTTTAAAATACTTTTTGAAGTTCTTGAATTTTCTTTGGTATTTTGGGAGAAACTGCATCTTTTTGGAGGCAGTGTGAGAAAGAACAGTAAGCAAAGGCACTTTTCTCTGGAACAAGTAACTTCTGCCTTCCACAGCCTTTTTGTTCTTCAGAATATAAGCACACTCATAGATATATTCAAATGACTGTGCATGAAAAAACAACATTTTAATTTAATATAGATTGCATGCATGAACACAGAGAGGATTTTTAGTTGTATCCATATAAGAGAAGAAATCATGTGGAAGACTGCAATCAATTTTCTGTCTGAGTGTTTTTAGGTTCTTCTCTGTTCTAGAGTGGCATTAACTGAAAATTATCACTATACAAGGACTCAGCAGTGGCATGTAGTCCATGTGATACCTGCCTCCATCCATTTCACTGTAAATGCCTACATCAGTGTTTGCTGAGTTACGAAGCACTCAGTGCCTGGACACGGACATGCAGGTTACATTGGTAAGGATACCTCATTTCTAGAGGTAAACTTTCTTACCAGCCAGTTTTTAAGGCATGTTGGCTGCCTGTAAATTTATAAAGTTGCTAATTTTGCTGATTTTCCCTGTGAAGAAACAGAGAGCTTCAGTCTTCAGGTGCTGTCAATCTGATATCATTTACAAGCACTAAAGATAAATTTTGACTTACCTTTGATAATTTAGTTTCTATGACTCTTTCCATATTATTCCAGACAATAGGGCTATGCTTTCCACAAGAAGAAGAGTATATACAGAGACCAAATCAGATTTTGTCATCCCTAAGGCAGGGGATTGATGACCAAGATATCAGAAGGAGAGTCTTTCAACAGCAGTAGTATCTGAACGATGTATAAGGAAACAACTGGAACAAATAATTTTTAGGAAAAAAAATGTAAGGTACTAATCAACATCACCATCTGACCTCTCACAATAGTGTAATAAGAAATATGCTCATAAATTAAGGTGTTTCTAAAAGAGTGGGGTGTCCAGAATAATGTGGAAGGAATCAAAGAATCACACACAACAGATCAGATAGGGCAGTACTTTACTACTCTTAATTCCTTTCCACATTACTCCAGACAATAGAGATGTTTAAAGCAGGTGTACAGAGAAGATGAGTAGATTAAAAAAAATAGGAAAAAAAAAGGGGAGGGGGAGTAATTCAGCTTCAGCACAGAAGATTGTCTGAAGAAAATGTGTTTAAAAGATGCATCAGCAGACAACTGGACAACTGGATATGAGTGTCCAGAAAACAAACAAAGCAAAGCTCACATGTTAATTAGACGAATTATAATTAATTCAATGGCCTTTTCTGCCATAAAACTATGATGGAGGAAGTGAACCTAAATGATTTCTCAACACATTAGCCTCCTGTAAGCACTCTCAAATCAGCTCAGATGTGAAGTGGAATTTCTGTGAGACAGTAAACCACAGCTATATCTTTTAAAGAAAACAAAGTCTTTTAAAGGCAAAGCTGCGAAGGGACTCACATTCTTTTAATTTTCAGGAAAAAATGGAAGTGAAAACACTACCCTGGAAGAGAAAGAAGAATACTAGCATAGGACCTCTGCTTTCAAAATTTTACTTCTCCTTGGAAAACAAATGAAAGCTTCAAAATACCAGAGACTGATGATGAAAAGGAAAAATTCTGTGCAGTACAAAAACCCTCTAACATTAAAAACAAACAAAAAAAACCCCACACACAAAAAAGAGTTTTCTAACCTGAGCTTTATAAAACCACCAAGATCCAGTTTGGTGAAGCACTGAAGATGATGCCCAGAGAGGTGGCAGATGCTCCATCCCTGGAAACATTCAAGATCTGAGCAACCTCATCTAGTGGAAGGTGTTCTGTTCATAGCAGGGGGTTGGACTGGACAACCTTTAAAGGTCCCTTTTCAACCCAAACCATTCTATGATCATTTTTACTTTGATAAGAACAAAACAAAAAATAAGGACCTTAAAAGATTCTGCTCCCTTTCCCTGCCATTCCATAGTCTCATTTGGAGGGAAATTTATGGCAATGCTTTTCTTTGCTGTTTTTGCAGTAAGTCTAAAAACACAGCTCACAAGGAACCAAGAGCACTAGGTATTTATTTGCTGTATTAAGAACACGTAAGATTTTCTCCAATAAAATGATAATTTAGATTAGGATACTACAGGACTTTGAGGCAGCCTATGGCATCTAACTTATAATACATGAAAATTAATACTGGACTGGATTAGCATTATGGTATCTGTGACATTTTGCAGCTGAAGATAAAATGTGAAAAGCAGTTAACTATCCACAGATAAAGAATCTCACCCTACTTGGTCTATACAGTTCACTTCTTTTGCACTAGTTAAAACCAGGAGAAATTAAGTAGATTAAGTGAAGGAAATACCAGTTGTGAACTCAATGTTTTTTTTGTTCCTTCAGACTTTTATACCATATACTAGCTAAAAAATGCCAAGATTTAGCATCTAAGATATTTGATACCAGATAAATCTGATGTCACATTTAAGAAAATATTGTGACAATTCATACTACGCTCTGCAAGAAAAAATCTCCAAGGAAGGAGACAGAGATCATAATGTGAGATTAGTCTATTGAATCAATGACTTCTCAGAGGTTCCACTACTCCAGCTGCATCATAACAATGCAACACAGACTGTTTATTGTCCAACATGCTGTTCCATAAAGGAATTCACTTATAAATTATGATGATCTCTAGCTCCTGTTTATAATGCCAGAGTTCCTTTAAAAAGTACCTATTTCAAGGCTTCAAGTGAAGCCTCTAGCACAATTTTCCACTTCTGATCATAAGAACTGAAGCAAGAAGAGATTGGTAGCTCATGAAACCTGTTCCCTGTAGCTCAGATGACAACACATGATTCTTAGCCCATTTATTTCAGCTTATGGGCAAATGGAGTGGGACAGAATAGTTCCTTATGTTTCACCCTCTGGCCTTATGAAGAAATGAGTTATAGCTACATCCTTTTTTTTGGTACTTTATTTTACTTACATAAAGTAAATAATAATTCATAATTAAACTTTCTTAAAAATAATCTCAACAGAGTTGCTAGCTTATAAAATACAGTCACTCCTAAATTCTCCTCCATACACATTTTCATTAATGATATCTAGTATGATGTCATAGCTTGCTGTCATGAGCTCTCTTACACTTCTGTTAAAACAGCCATCTAGCTGCTTGAAAGAACCCTGTAGTTACAATCCTTCTAAACTTCACAAATCTGTCTTTGGACTTATATCAAAAAATTTTAATACCCAGGGTTTAATTTGACTTCCTTCCCCAGCAATTTATGCACACTCTGATAAAAATGCCTTTGTCAAGTCAAAAAATGTTACAGTCCCAAACAAAGCAAAAGCTGTAAGCTTGAAGGCAGGCTTCAAACACAATGAGGGAGAAAATTCCCTTTAGTTTGTTCTCCTGGGGCTACACAGAATCTGGGATTGCCAGGCACAGGTGTGTCAAGGTGTACAGAAGTAGGAAAAACAGCACAAAGCAAGCACGGGGGATTTCAGATCAGTAAAATTATCTTTATGCCATGATAGATTTTATTTAACAGAGTTTCTTTTTCGATGTACTAACCACCAAACACAAGCACTGCCATGCTAAGAGGGAAACAATTTACTATGTCAAGAGGAATCTATGTTTTTCACTAAAAATTAGAAGAGCAATGTGAAAATGAACAGGTTGGTTATGATACTGCTCAGACTTCTCTATTTGGAGAGCTTCTACTAAATAAGTGCCTGTAAATTATTGTTACTATTAAGACAAAACTTATGCATAGGGCATGTGAATAACACCCTTAAGCAAATGTGTAGATAAACACTGACTTATAAGAAATTTATAGCCCAGTTCAAATAGCCAGTACTGACAGCTTTCATATAACACACATGGGTTATATTGTAAAACAATAAATAAGACCTTGCCAATTATGTGTAGGGAACTGTCTAGTAATTTGTCTTCAGGTAGGATTCTGGCAGGGAAAAGAATTGCCAGATAACAGAGGTAGTTTGTGCTTTAAAGGCTGGAATGGAAGATGAGAAGAAGGAGAAGAGTTTTTTAAAGAGACTTTCACAGTATATAAATGAAGTGGAATTATTCTGGGTATCCCTGAAAATGAGTGGAATTTGAAGCTGAAAGCAACAAGTGCCAATGCAAAGGTTGCAAACTGAAAATCCCAGTTGAGAAAAAGGAAAACAAAAAAGTGTTTGAAGGCAGACCAACATGGCAGAAGTTGAGGTGGAGGAAGCACAAGATACTGATAAATATCACAGTGAGGAGCTTTGAGATCTTCTGCAAGAGCTGCAAACAGAACCCCCAGCACTGATCACTGCATGGAGGTTGAGCACAGGAACAGTGAGTGGGATCACAGCACTGGGAACAGTAACACAAAAGGAAGGGCACGGCAAACTTTGGGAAAAATGCAGTAATTTTTTGTTTTTCAAAGTTGAATGTTTCTTGCTAGACAATTGGTAATGTGAAATTGGTAATGTGAAAGTACAAGAAGTGCATCTGACTAAATCCAGAAGAGTGGCTGAAACAGAAGAAGTGGGTAAAGTCGCTCAGCAGAACATAAAGAAGAAAAATGAGATAATTATAAACAAAAGTGTAGAAACTATCACTAAAAAAAGCAGCGGCTGAAGTACAGATAAATTGAGTAACACAAGGAATGTAAATAAAGGAATGACCTTTTTATTACAGCTTAACTGAATGGGTATTTTCTTGGAAAAGATGTCTCTAGTTAATAAGATACTTGGATATTTCCAAGGTATCAGCAATATCTGGAAGGGAATGGAAGCTGTTGGTATGTTTATATTTGATTTGCTTTTTATTTTAAAAAACATACAAAAGTCAAATTGACACAGAATGTTAAGTGATTAAATTAGGAAATCTGAGTTTTTGAAGTAGCATGGTACTGAAGGAAGTTATTAATTTTGAAGAAAAAATATTAAAGCTAACAAAATGTTTTGCTGTGGTCTCCTACTCTGGCAATGAAAACATCAGAAAATTGATTGGGTCTTCATCTGTGCAGGCTGATTAAGGCATAACCCTATTGTCTGGAACAATATGGAAGGCAGCTAGAGGAAATAAAATCCACAGAAAACAAAACACAGTCAAAAAATATACATACGTATCAAGATATTGATGTCTTGTGCAATAATTACAATGAAATTTTAAAACACAGAAAAGAATCACCTGTGAAAACTAGTAAGGTTTTGCTATTAAACAGCACAGCATTCTGACAGAATCTGCCTATCAAACAGGGGAGCAGTGATGATGCTGCACTAAGTTCTTACTCAAGTGCTTCAATGACTGCATTTTTATTTTCTTTGCTTTACAAAGCATGGAAGAATTAAGCCAAAACTTGTATTAAAGTGGAAAATTATTTGTGGTTTTTTTCAGTTTTATTTTGATCAAACCAGCATGAGCTCCTGTTGAGTAACATTTACAAAGATTTAATACTCAATGTGTGAATGCACATTACATTCCACTATCAATTTAGCTTTGCTCTGTGCATTTACCATGTTAACAAAGCCTTTAGTGAAAGATTATTTTTGAGCTTTTGTTTTGCAGGCCAGGCTGTGTCAGAAGAACAGAACTCTGCAGTACAACATGCACAATACTAAATAACTTGAAAGGAAAATTTCTTACCTCCAGCAACTAGCCCAGACTCTCCTAACTGAATTGCTACCCCAAAGCCACCAAGCTTTACTGGGGCTGAATTCTCCTTTGAGGCAAGCAGTACACAGTGTGGCTGAAAAGACAAAAATCCAGACAAATTATTACATTGTTTGAGAAATACAACCTGTATTTTAGAACTTACTTTCATAAATCTTTGAGCAGAAGTTAGATTTTGTTTTGTTTAAATAATCTTTTAATTTCAGTTATCTTCTTTTCTGGCATGGACTCCTCCTTCTACATTAGCTTCCCTTTCATTGCCCCAGGCTTACCAAAATCCTTTCAGAACTAGCATGGAAAACAAAGTGAATCACGATAAAATGGAGATAAAAAACTCATGTCTATAATTTCTTACCTTGCATTACTTTTCTTTTTTGTCTTTCATCCTATTAACCCTTACACTGTTTCAATTCCCCAGCTGAAATATCCTGCCTATGATACGTTTTGTGGGGGTCTTATCCTTCCCACAGAGAACATAAAACACTGTTTTGAGTCTTAATCATAGAATTCACACAACACTTCTCAAGTGCAGAATACCCCTGGGATATTCCAGTGAGGGATATTCTTTAGGTGTCTAAACTGGATTCCAGCCACAGTCATCTATACCTTTGATTTTCCACAAATAAGAACGAAGTGTAACATACAAAAGCGAAATAATATACAACAATTCAGATGGGTACTGACTGCTGTAGGAGGAAGCAACATACACACAAAATCTATTAGAACACAATTTGGTATTAAACACACATACTCGAACAATTGCATTTAATTTAGAACTTCCTGCATTTGCCCAAAGTCTCTCTTTTCAATACCATATTATTTAAAATGAAAAACCTCAAATTTGTATACGACTTCCCAAGAATACATTACTCCTTAAATTGCAAAACTAGGAACTCAAAGAGTGCACAGGAGCTACCAGAAGTTCAATCTGACTACCTGTAAAGTCATAATCTCTAACCACCCACATCTCTTTGTGAAAGTTTACATTATATGAGAATGAAGACCTTCAAGATAATGTTCTTGAGATCTTCATTAAATTTAGGCTTTGTCATATCAGGTCTTCTAAAATCCACTCTTAAATTTTAAATTTATAAATGTAATTTTGCAATTCCTTATGCCCCACTTGAAAGAGTATTACCAGGTGGCATTAGTGCTGCATACAGTATTTCACTTCTGCCTTAGTGAAATGGTTAAGTGCATACTTTGGGTACTTTCACATCCTCTCGACATGGTCATTTTGAGTGAGAAAGAACAATTCTAATCCCAGGCAAGGAGAAAGGTAGATGGGAGAACTATATAAAATTTAACAAAATATGCCATTCCACTGTGGTGCTGATTTATCTTTATCCTACACTGGAAAAAGTGGCACTATTTTCATGAAGTATTAAAGAGATGACAGTACCAGCATCATTATCACCCAAAAAGCCACTGGCATTGCTCACCAGAAACAAATTCTCTGAGAAAAAAGAATTGAATCTCCAGTTCAGAGCAAAACTGAGAAAAATTTATTACAGAACCTCTCCCAGCAGAGCCCAAATAAAATGGGTAGTTAAATATGCCTTTAAAAAAACAAAAAACACAAAAAAACCCAAAGCACACCAGTTGCAACACCAGCTAAAACTTCCTCTTGTTGCCAATTGTAGAGTCAGCTGGAGCTCACTTTCAGAGAGAAGCTGCTGGAGCTTTCTAATAAGAGGACCTGCACATTTCTCCTCCCTGTCTTCACCAGCAGTTTTCAGAACCAGAACTTCCTAACACATAAATGGTAAGCAGCTTCTTTTATACTTAAGCTGTTGTGAAATGGATCTCTACTAACGTTTCTCTTAACTGCAGAGGTGTTACTGACCTCCAAATCCTTTTCTAAGCACACCCAGGTTTAAGTGTGTGTGCTTCCTTAGAGGTGACACAACTTAGGACAGTGAAAAGTTTTGTTTCCAAACCATTTGCAGCATAACCCAAGTTTCTCCCTCATTGATCTAAACTTATCATTGCTTATACAAGTTCCCATATCAAACATTTTCATAGAAAAGCAACTTAAATGTGAAGTCATAGCAGGAGATGGGTTTCAAGATGTATTTGAAAGCATCGCAGTTTCAAATCAACCTCTCAAAATTACTTGCCCTGACAAAGTGGCAAGTATGAGGACAGCTGTTTTTGAAACTGCTAATGTACCCTTCCAGTTTAATGCAATTGTAGGGTCAAAAAACATAGGATATTAAAATATTTTAGACTCTTCTCTCAAGGATTCAGATTCTGTAAGGACATTAGGTCTTCTTAAAAATTTTACCTGAAGTGTGTCGTAATTTTTACTGCTGTGGCTGCATCACAGAACTAAATGTAAATTTGTATTTTTTAAGACCCAGCATGCAAATTGCACGGCCTAGACAAAGATCAAGCATAAAAGCTTTTTTAAGATAACATATACAACAGTGTTTTTTTGTTGTTTTATTTTTCTTTGTGACAGTTGCCAGATAACTAAGTGCCAAAACCACTTCTGAAAATTTTGTGAGATTACCAGGAAAAAACCTGCTTCCTTTGCAAAACAAAAATATCTTAAATAAACTTTTTTGCAGCATTTTTTGTTGCTATGACAAACAAGTTGAAGAGTAAAGTTTTATCATTACTTATCAGTGATAGCCATCTCTCGAAATGCCTTCACATGACTGCTCTCCAAACCACACACTTTTCTGGTTTTCCTTCCTTGGTCAAGGCTGACCTTTGTCTTTCACATTCTGCCTTCCTGGTCAGCAGTAAGCTTAGTGAAATTAAAAACTATCCAGTGAAAACAAAGAAAACCATGAACACAAGGAAGGTTTGTAAACAACCTGTTACTGCATTAATGTGATTTCCAGCTAACAGAAGTTTATCTGTGTAATACTGATTTGTGAATAGTCAAGAAAAGGAAAAAACCACTTAAATTTATGTGAATGTACAGATTATTAAAGACAAGCTACTGCAATAACACTGTCCCACAGGGTTACTTTTAACACAGTACATAGCCAAATAAATACTAATCAATGAATGCTTTTTTAATTGAAGACCAGTGAGTCCCACATGAAAAATCTGAATTATTTAAAATTAACACAGATGAGTTAAGACTTTTTTTAATATATGTCTATGTACTTTGTATCAGCACTGAGAATACTTAGTTATGTTTATATATCCCTGCACTTTAGGTAAAAATTTTTCTGCACGAGAAATGCTGGTACTAAAACTCGAACTTAAAAAAAATTACTTGTTCATATGGATAAAAAAAAAATTCTTAAGTTTTCAGGAAAATATAATAGTTAATTTTTAAAATAACAGAAGACAGTAATAATGCTGTAATTACAGGAATAGTTATCTGTGTGAGTACTCTATCTAATCATTCTTGCCTGCACATTACCTAGGCTTACATTATTTTATGATATCTGGCAAGAGCTCCTTTTATTTGGCTACACCAATACTTTGGGGCATTTATTCCTTTTAGCTACTGCCTTTCATGTTTGTATCACATTAGACTGTAGGCAATAAAGCAAACAGACACATGAATGGAGATTTAATTCTTAAAATCTCTTTTTGTTTCTTTGCAGAACAGCTTTTGCAAATGATGGCTGCAACTTCAGCTGATTTACCAACCATTGGTCCACACAAGGAAGAATTTTGGGGTAACCAAACCAACCTGACCACAAATGCCTCAGAAAGCCACAATGATGCCAGCTGTTCCTTGGATGACAACAACTCACTGTCACTTGCTTTGATAGTTTTTTACTCCATTATTTTTGTCGTTGGATTAGTTGGAAATATTATAGCCCTGTTTGCTTTCCTGTGCATTCATCAGAAAAGGAATTCTATCCAAGTTTACTTGCTAAACGTCGCTGTTGCAGACCTTCTGCTGATCTTCTGTCTCCCCTTCCGGATACTCTATCATGCCACCAACCACTGGATGTTTGGGCAGATTTTTTGCAAGGTTGTGGGAACGCTGTTTTACATGAACATGTACATTAGCATAGTACTGTTAGGACTAATTAGTCTGGATCGTTATATAAAGATAAATAAGTCTGTGAAGCGTCCAAAGATGTTGACCACTACCCGGAGTGTGCAGATTTGTTGCACGGTGTGGGCGATTGCACTGACAGGATTTATAGTCATAGTTGCACCATCTTTCTTTAAGAATGAGGACAGCAACTCTACCAAGTGCTTTCATTACCGAAGCAAACAGAATGCAGAGAAGACAGAAGCAATTTTAAATTATATCACTGTACTGATTTTTTGGATAGTTTTTTTCCTTTTGATACTTTCCTATGTTAAAATTGCCAAGAACCTTCTGAAAATTTCAAGGAGAAGGGCAAATTTTCCCAATGCAGGAAAATACACCAAGACAGCAAGAAACTCTTTCATTGTTCTCATAATTTTCACCATCTGTTTTGTACCTTATCACATGTTCAGGTTTGTCTACATCACATCACAGTTACAAACCCCATCCTGTTACTGGATGGAGATCATTCACACGTGCAATGAGGTTATGCTCATCTTTTCATCATTTAACAGCTGCCTAGACCCAGTTATGTATTTCCTAATGTCCAGGAGTGTCCGTAAGACTGTATTCCAACTGATTTGCAGAAAACTTCATGGAGAGTCAAGCCTAAACCTGGAGAGCACCTCAGACATAAAACTTGGCCAATACGCTCAAGAGCGATTATCTACAACCACTCCTCACTCCAGCTACTCAAGGAAGAAGTCAATGATTTGAATGTTTAAATGAATCTCTGTCCCTCCAGGTCACCAATTTCAGATCACAAAATCCTCTACTCTACAGCTACTAATTCTGCGTTTTTCCTCCTGTTAAGAAAAATGAGAAGTCTTACTTCTGTTTGTGCAAATGAGAACTTCTCAGAAGCATTTTTTCACTCTTGTTTATCCAAGAAAACAAATTAGGAAGTTCTCAGACATTTTGTGTTGGACTAAACTAGAACACTAACTCTTTAGGGAGATTTCCATGAAGGGGTTTGAACCTGTAAAAGTAAATTTGTATATACACATTAATATTAGTAGCTTGTGTATGTAAATAATAGATGAATTTTACAAAAAGTAAATTCTGTCTTATTTGAAAAGTCCAGATAACATTGCAGGTTTTATGTATTTTATGGTTTTCTCTGTTTTAACAGGTTCCCAAGAGATTGGTATTTTAACTACATTTACAAACAAATTTTTAAAGAATATATTTGAGAATTTAGCAACACGAGTCTTAAAAATGAGGTGAAGAATACAACACCTATCAATTCAGTTTTAAGTACAGAAGACACTCTAAGTTTTATTAAGCAGCAAAGTTAAAGTATTCAATCCTACTAAGACCCTTGTATTTCCAACATTTTAATGAGTGTCAAGGTCAAACACCTGAGGAAACGCAAGCACAGCTCTCAGAAAATTTCAACTAAATCAAGGAGAGATGATATGTGGGTATTTCCTAAGATTTCCTTCGAAATGACAAATTTGATTACTGCAGCTACACAAAGTAGCTCAGCAAGGAACATAAACTCACAGAACCAAAAAGATCAGCCAGGCTCAGCCACTGGTCTGCTCCTAGATTTCCAAAGCCACTCATTCCAGCTGCATGCTTCTTCCCTGTCAGGAGACTTTTCTTTCCATGTGATTAAAACAATTTTGAAAATTGCTGATGCCATGTGAACAGCAACGTTTCATAGCTGCAGCTATATTCTCAGATTAAAACTAAACAGCTTTATTTATTAAGGCACAAACAGATTTCAAGCTGTAACATTTCTCAAAAAACAGAGATCTGAAGGTGGGGGATGTCTGGCACAAAGATGACTAAAGCAGCACAACCATGAACAACTCAAATGTCTGGCATAACAGACCAGAAAGTCGAAAGAAATAGAGGCCAGACATTGAGCTCTGTAAAATAAGGATTTATTATCTTGACACATACAAATACTGCTCAAGTAAGCAGGTGCAAAGAAGTTGGTTTTAATATGTAACTTCTCTAATGGATCATGTGATTTTTAATGCCAAATCTGCCAAAATGTGTGGATTTTTACTAATTCCATACTATATTCTGATTTTACAGAAGATACTCATAATACTCTGATTGAACAAAGTAAGGGTAAGACTTCTAGATATAAACTTGATTTAATTTTGATGCGATCTTACATCATTCAGATTTGATGGAACTGGATATAAACATGTTAAACAAATTACAATGACTAGCCAGTCTAGTTTTTTATTATTTTTTTGGGTAATATTAAGTTGTTTCTTAATCTTCAAAAGAACGATTCCCACAAATGTAATTTCTTAAAGATATGATGGTAACTGCCTTTTTCTTGAACATTTCAGCATACAATGGAGGTGTTTGTACAATAATTTCTGAGTCTTACAGCAATTGCATTTCATGATCTTTTATCTATCATTTTGTCATCCTATTTTATTAATTATTCTCTTGGTTTTGTATTTGTACAGTGCAATTTTATTATGCAATGCTGTAGTTCTACGTAGTTACATGAATTCTGGTACATCTAGCAGAGTTTATAAACCACAATTTCACAAGATGTATGTATTATCTCATCATTCTTTCTTTTCTATGCTTATTCTGTGAGCAGTTGGTTATTCTGTGAACAGCAGGTTGGGGTGAGGGTGTGGGCTGGGAAACTCAGGAGAGGACAGGCATGAACAACACCAGCTTGAACAAAATGTGAATTCTAAAATTCTTTTGAAAAAAGTGTTAGATCAGAATTTTCATTTACAAGGTTTGTAATTCATGGACACAGCAGTATTGCCAAAATACCCTCAGATCTCTCTAGAGAATCAAATAGTAGTACAAGGTTTTGATACTGAAAATCCAAACTGCATTAAACTCAACTCTCCAGCCCAGAAATTAAAATCTGAAAGGGACCAGGTCTATAAGAAAACCTCTAAGAACAGGCATAGCACAGAAGAGGGGAATAGGAATGACCATATGATCTTGACAAAGTGCAGCATTAAAGGAGTAGCAGTCAGAACAAAGAAACTACCACAGAAAGCAATCAGAAAATACTGTTGGATTTCTACAACTGTATAAATCAGTTCAAGATGTTAAGTTCAAGCTTCAAGATGCTAAAGGCAGATGTATCAACTGGCTCAGAAAGGGATTTTAAACTAGACAGCACTGCCATGTAGGAAGCAATTACTACTGACCAAGAAACAAAAGCAGGTTTCTTTACTCTTTTAGAAAAACATTTAATCCTTACGTATTTTTTCTGCAATCAGTTTTCTGAAATTTGAGGATAAAATGCTAGGCCTTACAAAAAATACCACTGAAGAACAAACATCTTGGGAGATCTGCTGCAAGTCACACTGTGACATGTAAAATGACTATAGAATCAAGTCACTCAAATAGTGTGTCTTACTTCTCCTTTTCCCAGTGCTTCCCAATTACCTGAGTCCTCAGGTGAATTTTAACATGAAGGTGATTCTATTTATTTTGCTTTCTGTATTTAAAGGCTAACTCAACACACATCCCCATAAAACAGCACAAACCTAATTTTCCTCTGTACTCAAATCTGTAAGACATACTTGAATTTCAACTGGGGTACCAAAATGTACCAGTTCTGTGCTGGTTTTGGCTGGGATGGATTTCACGATATGGGCTGTGGTTTGGGCTTGTGATCAAAACAGTGTTGCCAACCCAGGGAAGCTTCAGCCATTGCTAAGCAGCACCTGCACAAGAAGCAGGACCTCAATGTCTGTCAGAACACCCCAGCAGCGAGAGGCTGGGGGTGCACAAGGACATGGTGGGGACACAGCAGGGACAGCTGACCCCAGGGATATCCCAGAGCACGTGGTGCCATGCTCAGCAACAAAAGCCAAGAAGGAAGCTTGGCTATGCTGCCATTTCTCAGGAACTCACTGGGCACTGGTCAGATGGGGTTGTTTTCTATCACTGGTTTTTTTTGTTTCTGCCTGTATCTTTTTCTTTAAGCTTATTAAACTCCTTATCACAAACCATGAATTTCCACTTTTACCCTACCAATCCTCCCTCCCAGCCCACTGCAGAAGAAGTAAGTGAACGTGAGTGATTTAGGTGCTTTCTGGGATAAAACCACAACCACATACTTTGGCATCCAGATACCAGCAGATTTGATCAGAGTGTGTCAGACAAAGCAGGAGGGAGCACCAGACAGGGAGGTCTGTTCTTCAGCACAGCAGTCACAAGAACAAGAGGGGGAAGAGGTAAAAATCATAAACAAGTTTTCTCACTTTTACCCTTCTGATTCTCCTCCTCATCCCACTGAGGGGGAGTGAGTGGCTGTGTGGGCTCACCTGCCTACCAGGGTTAAACCACAACATCAACTTTCATTTTTGCACTGAAAATATAAGTAATTATGGTTTTAACTTGCAAACTGGTGTTTCTGAGGGCAGATAAATAGCAATTATTTTGATAACACAACATGGAAACATTTAATGGCGTCACTTTCCTTACAACACTGGTCAATGAAACCATAAAAGAGGAGTGCAACTTATGTCACTGAAAACCAAGTAAGAATCACATTATTCCAGAACTGGAAGTTCACAAATGGAAGCTTTAGTTTGATGCTCTGACAGCACATAACAGGCTGTGAGAGAGAGTGTCAAAGCCTTGTTGAAGTCGAGGAATTTCACCACTGAGAATTTCCTGGGTTTTGTGTTTTTAGGGCCAGAAAACAAGCTGTCTGCATATAATGATGAAATGCAACATATGCTACCTTATTGGCAATATAAAATCTAGTACATGTATAAATTAAGAGTGAACATGGTTTGAGAATAGAGAAAATATAAATCATTGAGGTGAATGATGCACATAAAAAAAATTATGAAGAACTTAAGGGTGAATGGCATATAAAAATGTGTGTTCTATTTGAGTATCTTCAAATACATTTTAGATAAAACACCATTTTTAAGTTAAGTGAATGGAAATAGACTACTAAAAGAATAAGGAAGGTGCTTGCTACAGCTTAGAACCCATTGTAACTGTATTCCTGGGACAGGTGGCATTTTTAAAAACTTGTAATACCTCATTACATTGCTATTGCTCTCAGTAATCCATTACAAAATAAAGTCTAATAGACTCTAATTCATTACAACAATCTATTATCATATAATAATGTAGAAAAAAAATGTAGCAGTTATCTCTTACAGCATGAGTTATTATCATTAAATTATAAATATTACAGGCAACAGTCAATAACCAACCAAATAATAATAGTAATTTAAAAAAACCTGCTAACTGGAATTGTTCACACCACTCTCAGTAACTTTACAGGATATGCATTCTTGTATCTAAACCTCAGTGGAACACCACAGTAACAAGGAATTCTAACATTAATTAAGAAACTATTAAACATGTAATAAATGCAAAATACTCTCTGTTAGAATAATTTTTAATATAACTATACATTCAAAAGCGGAAAACAAGGTATAATTAAATTTAACAAGAACTAGAATTAAAGTACATGAAAACTAATTACAGCTTTACAGCCTAATTACTAATATTCCACAGCATAAATGTAATTGCAAATGAGTTTGGCTATGAATTCAGAATAGGAAGCCAGCTTACATGTCCATTATTTTAGTAGAAAAATTAGTAATAATGAGACTGAACAATGATAACAGGTCATGAGATGAATTCTCATAGTCCATGTTTAAACAAAGCCAAACCAGCAAAACAAGAACCTTACCAGACTTCTGTTCTCATAAAGGAACTTATTTATAGGTGTTGAAAAGCCTTATTTTACAACCACAGACGTACAAGAAAGCAGAAAACCCAAAAGTCTCAACTTCTGCAGAGCTAAACAGAGTTTGACCTGTGATCATTCCTATGCTGTGGAGGAAGGAAACTGTCCTGTGTGTAACTCTGGCTGATTTGTGTAAAATGCACTTCTTGGACACTGAGTCCATTTTCCCTGCCGGAACCCTTGGATGCATCAGCTGTAAATTGCTTCCACAAAACCCAACACCTGAGCAGACAGAAGAGGTGTGTCCATTTGGTCATTCATGCGAGCACAGACACAGACACAGCACTACTGCACAGGGGCTTTGGGAACAGACAGCTTGGTGATGGCTCATGATGCTCAAGAGCTGTTAAATCTCACTGAAAAGACAAGTTTTAAGGCATAAAATAGCAGCAGGATGGAAAGTGGGCAGTCCTAAAGAGAACCCCTCCACCCCTCCAAAGAGGGAAGCACTATATAAAGGATTGCAAGGTGTTTCTGTGCTGTACCTAAGGACTGTTACAGCTGCTCTTCTATTCTATCTCTTTTTTTTCCTTAATGGAGCTGATCCTGACTTAATTTTTTTGGACAGACATCACCTTTTCTGAACTTTAAATGCCTACCTGCCTCCTGACATTGTAAAAGGAAAGTGTACACTCTGAAAACCTACTTATGTCAGAGATAAATTTTTAACTGTACTCCAGATTCCAGTGCCATCATTTTCACTGCAGCAGTGGAGATAAAACAGACACCAGACAGAAATATTTCCTCTCGGCAAAGGAAGGTGCCTGCAGCTTGTATAGGTAAGCTTAAAATTACAACTTCTTTTTTTTACCTGATGAAATTTGGTCAATGATACAAAAATTTTCATTAGACTGCTAAAATGAGTAAATTCAGCAGCAACTTTATTCATTTAACTCATTATAATAAAATAATTTAATACGTTTTAGT